GGGGCGGCCTAAGAGCAGCGCTGCCCTGGGCTTCCTGAAAACCTAAGATGGAAAAAGAAACCAAATGGATGTGTTCTTTCTCAGCGGGCGTAACCTCCTGACAGCACTGGCTGCCTGAGGCCTGTGGATAAATGAATTGGGGGGTTCCTTCTTTCACTCCCCCAATAGGTCGGTCCTCCCCCAAGTAAGTGTCGTGCATAGGAGTGAGTGCCCTCCAAAATGTACCCCAGCCCCCCGGGAATGCCTGCACTCTGTGGAGGTGGGGAGACCCAGCTGCCCGCCCTCTCCTGCCATTGAGATTCGAGCCACCGAGACACAGCGCGAAGGACGCCCCTCCAGGCCCCGCTGCCCAGGCCAGGCCTGGGTGAAGCGGGCAGCCTGCTGCCCTGGTTGCTTCTTTCTCCCTCCAGTGAGCAGAGGCCGTGTGCCCCCCTAGCGCGGAAGCCGCATGTCCCCCCAGTGCAGAGACTGAGTGCCCTCCCCCCAGTATGGAGGCTGCATGCCCCCCCCTCGCCCCCGCAGCACAGAGGGGGCGGCGTGTTCCCAGGGAATGATGCCTGATGCTCTGAGCCGGGGGCAACGGCAGGGGCAGTGACTTCAGTGACGTCCGTTCACCACGTCCACCCCTGCTCGCCTCGGCCTTAGGAAACCAGCATCAGGCTCTTCTTGCAGCGCAGTGTTTGGGAGCCATAATTATCAGTTCCCACCATGCCGCTCCTCCGCTGGCACTGCCACGGCTTCTTTTCATTCTAGTGACCCTAGAATGACACTGCACCCCAACATCGCCTGCTCCCCGCAGCTTCGCCAGGGTAGGAGGGGACCGTGTCCCGTCCCCAGGACCCCATGCCCTCTCAGGCCTCCGCTTGTCCACCTGCTGGTTCGTGTCTCCCAAGCCCAGGTCTCCTCCCAGCCCTGGGCGCTTCCTCCTGTCGCCTACCACCAGCCCTCAGGTGTGCCCGGGACTGGCCCCTTTCCTGCTGTTAAATTACAGACGGAAACGTTGGCTTGGGATGTGTTCGTGCGGCACAAAAGGTCCAGGTGACGCCCGAGCTGGAAAGTGAGCCGCCTCTGTCTGTCTCACACACTCGCAGCCTCTGCCCCCGGCTTATCGCCTGCCCCCAAGACTTGGAGAACCAGCTCTTCCGGGGCGCCCCCCCTCCATCTGCCGCCTCCAAGCCCTCAGGCCTCTGGTGCCCACTCATTTGACAATTACCGCTCTGTAAGGCCAGTTTTCAGATACAGGACATCAGAGAAATCAATTAAGATGCGATCTGAGGTTTCATATCTCGTGGCATCGAGGAAGCACTATTTTTAAAACCTTTGCCTCTCGTATGAAGACGTAGCCCAGGGTTTTCCAGCACTTCTCTGGAGAAACACGATACTGGCTGGTGGCCCTCAGCTGTGTGAGCAAACCCAGGGTGCTGGTCGTTGGACCCTGCCGCGTTCTCAATGAGGGAAAATCTCACTTGTAACATGATACATGTGGTCTGGCGCAAGTGCCGCTTTTAAAAACCCACAGATGTGTTTTCTGATAACCGTGCGTTTGAAAACCTTCGTGGTCCACCTTTCAGCAGAGTCGGTAATGAACTCTCTACTGAACAGGGCAGGAGGCATCCATGTGATCGTGACAATGCAGGGTTTAAAAATGCCATGATTTAAATAACATCTCTTTAGCCTTGTTCTTGATGGTCAAGCTGTAGTAGAGGCAGAGGAAGTGTCCCTGAGGCCTCAGCCTTAAGGACGTTAAAGGGCCGGAAGCCGCACTTGGACCTGGTTGGTGGGCACACCCGGCTCACAGGCACCGCTGCCCCGTACCTGATGTTTCTGGGCATCACATCCTGCTCCGGTCCTGGACCAGTCGTGTGTGTTCAGAAAACACCCGCTAGAAGGGAGACATCACGCCCCTGACTGTCTGAGAACAGCTAACATTATTACAGCCCAGGGAAGGGGGGCGACGTACCCAGGGTCCCGGTGCCTGTCGGTGTGGGTGTGGCCTGAGGGGCTTCGCAGCACAGCCCCAAGCGAGCGCGGTGCCCTTTCCACCTGGGACCACTGGTGACGCAGGCTCGGAGTTCTGTGGCGGAAGATGCAGGAAGACGCACTCAGCGTCTCCTCAGAACGGGGGAGTTGCCGCTTCAGATGTGGACACTGGGTGACAAATGCGCCTCTTTGGCCGCCTCTGGTCCTGGTGCTCAGAACACCGTGGGACATAAACAAACAGCACACAGTGTTGCCAGCATATACTCGTGCCACGACGTCCCAGGCTGGTGCTCAGTCCTCTCCCCTGAGCTTAGAGGTGTCTCTGCCCAGCCGAAGGGTTCATTTTGGCCTCTCCTGTGGTAGCAGGGCTGCATGTCAGCCAGGCGGGGGGAGGGTGCTGGAGAGGGCGCAGAGCGGGGCGCTTTCCGCTGTGCTGGGGAGACTTATTCCTGCCCTGCTCTGCCCAGTGGAGCATCTGCTGCGGCCTTTTTACCTGTGCAGGTAAGACCCGACCGGCTCCTTAGAAACCAGCGGCCGAACATGGAAGTGGAGTAAACCCTGTAGCTTCCTCCTTCCTCCCGCCTTTTAACAGTTTGTGTGCGTTTTTTCTTTTAAAAAATACAGCTGATTTTTATTATAAAAAATTCTAAAAGAAATAGATATGGCCCCCCTGGCCCCCCGGGCACACCTTCGCCTCCCCGAGGAAACTGCCCTTCCCAGCTTGGAACGTAGCCATTATTTATATGACCTGTTCACACCCACCTACCGAGCTCCCGTTATGTGTGGCACTAGCGATTGGTGCTTTATGCACACTTCACAACTTTTCCATTTCTTCCCATAAAACGGGATCATATTATATGTCAGGGTCCAAGACTTGCATTTTTTAAATCGCAGCGAGCCTCCGACATCTTTCCACGTCCATGCGTGTCAGCAGCCTGTCTTTCTGCAGCTGCGTGGGGCCCTCTTTGTGTAATGATCCCTTTCTAGCGGGTCTGTCAGGGTCAGGATTGGCCGTGACCGTCTCCCGCCGGCTGCTGCCCCTCGGCTCCCGTCCTCTGCAGGGAAGGACGACAGGAAGGGTGAGTCTGAGGGTGCCACTGCTTCTGATCATGGGTCAGAATTTGGCTGCAAGATCAGACTTAGCTGCACAGCAGCTGGGACGGGTGCTGCTCTGAAACGTCCCTTGACGGAGGAGCGGCGGAAGTCGGTGTGGGATGGGCGCCCTCTTCCCCGGTGCCACTGGGGCAGCTGAGGCTTCTGCGAATCAAAGTGCTGTGTGTCCTGTCTGTACAGCTCTGTGTACACATCCGAGTGTGCCCAGGATGGACCCCAGGACATCGGACGGGACGGACAGTCAGTGTTTTGTACGTCCTGCCTGATGGCGTTCAAATACGTGTCCTCGGTTCACGTTCCCATCCCTGAGGAACCAGCGCCTTTCTTATACAAAATAAATTAAAAATTCATTTATTCTGCTTTTATATTTAGTTTTTAAATCTACCCTGATTTTTTGTATGTAGAGTCTCAGATAGCAATGAGGAATGGTTAGTTAGATGGGACCGTGTCACTTGCTGAATTGTTCCTTCTCTCTTCAGTGGTTAAAGTGCCACTTTCATTACGATTACATATGGGGGTCTATTTCTGGACTTTCTCTTCTGTCGATTTGTCTGTCTGTCCCCCCCCTCCCGATTCCATCCTGTAATTACTGTGGATTTATAGTATATTTAACGTCAGTAGTGTGAGTTCTTACTCATTGTTCTTTATTAAAAATCAATTTTTGCTATTCTGGTGCGTTTCTCTTCTGCACAAACTTTAGAATCAAATGGTCAGATTCCGTGAAAGAAAACCCCTGCTGGTAATGCGACGGGGCTTTATCGTGACGGGGCTCGATTGTGAGGGGCTTACGTTGACTTGTAGACTCATCGGGAAGAGCCGCCCTCTTTAGAGCTCAACAGTGAGAGTTTGTCCAGAGGACGCGTCTCCACGTGTCCCTTACACGGTGCGGTGATGGTAACAAGCTGTCCAACCAGAGCAGGCCGGCAGCACGGGATGGGGGGAATGGCCATAGAAGCAGAGCGCGGCCCCCTCGCGGTGTGAGGTCCACACACCCACGCACACTTGTGTTGTCCACTCGGCCTTGTCCTGTCTGGGATGGGACTCACCTGGTGCGTGGCTGTGTGTACAGAGAAAGCCTCTGCCGCCCGTGATGACAAGCTTCAAGCTTCCCCAGGCCCGTTGGTCTTGCCACCTGTCCTCCCTTGCCACCTCAAACAGCGCTGTCGGCGGCGCCCGTGTCAGTGCAGCCTCAGCTGCCGGGCACAGCCACCTTTACTGTGCGTGTCCACACTGATTTCTGCCAGTTTCACACCTTGTCTGTGCTCGAGGCGGGCACCCAGGTGAGGCTTTCTGTGCAGTTGTGTGAAAATGTGACCTATGAGTGAGCATCTGTCCCGTTCCTCGAGCGAGCTGAGGACTCTTGTCTTCATTCCCAGCGGTCCCTGGAATGTTTCCAGTACTGGACGGTGCGGCGTGTCCAGAAATGTAGTCCCCTTAGCGGATGGGCGCTGAGGATGGGTCCTGTGATTTGAAAAACAAGTACAGGGCCACGCCCACTTGTACCCTCACGTGGGAGTTTTTAAATCACCTGGAGGGTGACGTCCTCCGGGCACCTCTGGGATGAAAGCGACAGTGGGGAGTGTGCCTCATTCCCGTGCTGCCCGCTGTGTCACTAAGCACCCGGTTCCCAGGGAGCAGCCAGCCGCGTTTCCTCTGCCTTAGGAGAGAGAGCTTGGCTCAGGTTGCTGGGGGTGGGAGAGGACAAGTGGAGGGAACCCCACGGGGGTGAGCGCACGTCCCTAGGAGGCAGCGGGCCACTGACCTGGGTGACGGAGGCCAGCCTAACAGCAGTGGGGCCGGGTTCAAACTGTGACAGCCCCCCTGCACAGCGCTGTGGGTAATGGCCCACGGGCAGCTGGTGGAGGAGCGTTCTCTGCCGTCACTGACTGTGACAGCTCAGGAAGTCCCGCAGCCAGGCCCCGTGTTGTGCCCTCTGCCAGGCCGGTGCTAGTGGCCGGCAGAAGTCACTCACGCGCACCATATTTTGTTTTACAGAACTACACTCAGTATATCCCTCTGTCCATCTATGACCTCCAGACGTGGATGGGCAGCCCGTCCATATTCGTCTACGACTGCTCCAACGCCGGCCTCATCGTCAAGTCCTTCAAGCAGTTTGCCCTGCAGAGGGAGCAGGAGCTGGAGGTGAGTGTGAGCGCAGACCGGGCTGAGCCTGGGCTTGTGTCCTGGGGGGGCTGTGGAGGATGCTGGGGGGCTGGGGGCTGGCCCCCGGTGGCGCCCCCGCCCTTTGAGTGGAGATGTGCTGGGGCTGCATAGGCCCAGCGATCTGCTCAGTGACAGACCCTGGGGGGCGCTCGGGACAAGCTCGTGGGCTTTTCACATCTCATTTTACTCAGTGACATTTTAAATCTGAGCGTTAATTAAGTGATAACACTGGCAGAGTTGATTTGTGCTCTAGAGGCTGCAGATAAATGTTAAACCGAAGCAGACACATTTATTTTAGGAAAGACGGAGCCGTGTCTGGGCATGGTCTTCACTTTCACTCATGTCTTGTTTGCCCCATTTTATTTTCTTCTGTGTTTAAAAACAAACAAACAAAAATCCCCTGAGCTAAATACCGAAAACAAATCCAAACAGCCGCCATCGCAGTGTCCTTGTAGAGAACTAGAGGGCAGTGTGGTGCTCTGAGCGTGAAGACACACTTGGCTGTGGCATTAATGTTTGGTGTCTGAACTACACGGTGAGTTCTGAGGCCGTGTCAGGTAAGAGCCTGTCCTTCTGCACAGAGTGAGGCCAGGACGCCCTCGGTCCCGAAGCCCACGCCGCCCGAGCACGCGCTTCCTCAGGCCGGGGGCCTCCCCCATCCCCACGGATCAGATCTTTACTGTTGGTCACACTCCATCAGCGGGGGTCGCTGGCCTAGAGTTTAATGTTTTATATTCACAAACTCAGCCCTTACACCGAGCAGTGCATAAGAGTGACTGACAGTATGCCCTTCACTCTTGACAGTGGAGCCAAGCGGCACCAGTTGGTGTTAATTCTGTAATAAGAGGGAGAAGATCAGTTTCATAGCACCCCACTTGTACCTTGCTGTTAGCCATGTCCTCTAAGTTTGCCCACCAGGGAGGTGGTGTGATGAGCACTAAGAAAGCCAAGGGGAGATTGGCTCTTCCTTGCATCAGGCACTAATGAATTGTGTTTACATTTCTAATATGGAAATAACAATGCCGGAGAATCCTCCTGACCTTCTTACCCGATTTATGAGCTCCTGGGGCCAAGGGTGGCCCAGCCCTCAGCCTAGTGAGTGAGACCCTAAAGGTAGCCCCACCCACCCCTTCCGTGGCCGGAAGGCGGCGTCTGTCTCATGCCTGAGACCAAATGTTTACTTTCCAGACTCCGAGTAGCTGCTTCCTCAGAACTTCGTGTGTTCTGTCTGTGTTGCCAAGGATTAATCAGCCGAAGAAACTGTTCATTTCACTGAGAGCAACAAGAGAAGAGTGCCTTGCATCTTTTAGGGGGAAAAAAGTGTTTACTGGACCATTTCCTCACGGAGGAGCACAGATGACAAACACGTGACGTGGAGAGTTAACTAGATGCCAGTACAAAGTTACACCATATGTCTGACAGCGAGCTCTGACTGTATCTTCAGCCTTTTTAAATTACAGTGTGGATAAGCCTTGTGTTTTTCCATCGCACGTACTGCTATTGGCCATTGTTCACTCTCTTGCATAAGCAGCGGAAATTAAAATGATAAAACCGGCTCCCAGACAATATCCTAATGTGCGTGTTTGTCATTTTATCTGGTGTACATACAGCAGCCTTATGTGACCTCTTAGGTTTGTTTTTGAAAAACTTCTTACCCTCCCTACAGTTGGCCAAATTCTTTGTAAATTTACAATACCTTGTAACACTTTTATTGAGTAGATGATAACACATGAACTGAAAGAAGTTGGCAGGTAAATTGTTTGTGCCGGTGTTCGAAAACTAGAGTGAGCAAAGAATGACTGACTCTGATGGGCGACATGGTTACTTGGACCAGAGAGCGTCCAGGTAACAAACATCAGCACTGCTGTGAGCAGCGTGAATGTTGGGAGATGATTCTCGCCTCCCAGCTTCCTAGTCGCTGAGGCGGGTGCCGGGCCAGGAGCTCACACCTGTGGACTTCTGTCTCCGAGGTCCTGCAGAGGAAGCAGGAGACAGCTTCGGGGAATCGCAGCATAAATCATCCCACACAGGTGACCCTGCCGCATTTGGATGTTCTGTATCCTGTAATCTTTGCAGATTTCGGTAATCCTGTGTTCCTGTCTCTGCTGCTTCAGTGATCGGCACTGCCTTTGGTTTCAGGCCCCGAGGCTCCTGGGCTCCCTGTTGCGTCTCGGTATTCCCAACTTCAGCCTCGTCTGCACTTGTGCTTTTCCGTAATTAAGCCCCCCTGCCTCCTGGGTGGGTGGATTCTAAAAGTGACGAACTTTAAACCTTGATCGCCTGATTCCAGCCACTAGATCTTGCTCACTGAATGGCGAAGTAGGGTGCTGTCATTTCCATTTTATAACAGTTTTGTTTGTTCCTTTGATTTTCCTGGAGAGGTTTTCTTTCCTCCTAGAACCAGACCTTTAATGTCCCTTCAGTTCCCCAGTTTGCAAGGACGGCCCCGGAGCTCAGGGCGCGCCCTGTCGCAGGCCCTCCCCCAGTTCCCTGCCTCCTCGGGTGCCTGCTGTGTCACCCTGGTCGCTCTCCTGGACGCAGCTGCTGTTTCCCAGGCCCGCCTCGTCTTTCTCGAGCTGCTCCTTTGTTCTGCGAGGGCAGACCCTCAAGTAACAGCCTAAGAAAGGACGTGTGGCAGAGACCTTTCTCACCTGAGCTGTTTGCGTTTGGAGTATTTTCAGCTATGAGTAATAAAAAGTTTCACCATTGGTTTTTAAACAAACAACAGTTTGTCTGTTCTCTAACATCCCTGAGACAAACGGTGGTCATTGAGCAGTGTCCTCGGGGACCCCGGCTGCCTTTATCCGTCCACTCCGGCGCCCTTGGCCGCTTGGTGTTTTGTCCTGGTGGCTGCAGCGTGCCCGTCACAGCGCCAGGAGTTTCCTCTGTCTTCGAGGCCCAATCGGGTGGGAAAGGGCGGTGCTGGCACCTCCCTCACTCGCATTAGGAAAGCAAGGGTGCGTGTGTCCTCACAGCTGATTGGCTAGAGCTGGGTCACATGGCCTCCCACCTGGAATTGGCGGGTGGCCCAAAGGGGACGCAGGTGGGAGTGAGCGTGAGACCATCTGATGAGCGTCAGCTAGACTGCGCGTGTGACGCGCGCGTGTGACGTCTGGTTCCAGCCACATGCGTTACTGGCGGTTTGGGGATGGAGGGTCAGGCCATTTTCGCTGAACAGTATCGCTCTGAATTCTTGCAGTGCTGAGGAGATGCACGTGAGAAGTCTGCCCACTGGCCTCGAGGCTGTAACTAAGCATCCAGACAGGCAGCTACCTACGTTCAGATGAAAACCATAGGAGGCCTATTTATATTCGCAGTGCACAGAACATGTGTTGAAAGAGCTGGAAAGAGAATTCAAATATTCTTGCAACACTTTTATCTCAGATATTAAATCTTTGGTCTGTAACTATGAGAAAGGCAGACTGAGTCTTCAACAGACTGTCTTTGTTTTATGCATCAGTTGTGCTGCTAGGGGGTGTCCCCCGGGCGGTGCCAGCTCTCACCTGCAGTGGCCACCACAGTGGAGATGGAATCGGATCTGGGCAGTTTTCTCTTTGGCTTGGAAGTGAGTGAGTTGCTGTGTCGTGGTGGGAACAGGCATGCCTTTTCCTTCACACGGACACGCTGGGCGGGCTGTGTCCCGGTGAGCCTGGGTCCTGAGCGTAACCATCGTCGCTGCTGCACACATGCGGTGTGGACACTTCCATGGTGGCGGCCACGCAGCAGTGCGGGAACATCTTCCCAAGGGGCGGGGGCGCTTTGGGAAGAAGCCCTGTTGAGGGTCAGCCCCTCGCTCGAGTGGCAGACATCGCTGTCTTTTCTTCCTACTTGTCTGCACTCGTGAGGCCTCCATGTAAGTCCTGCTTCTGTCTGGCATTCTGGAACACTGCTGTGTGAGCCCCTCCTGCGAGCTCCAGCCGGGCTGCCAGTGGACGTGCGTTTTCACAGTGAGACGCAGGCGTGCCCTGCCTTCTGCAGCCCTGGATGTGAGCGGACGTATGACACGGTGACCTCTGTATTCATCACCAAGACTAAATTCTCTGTCAGGGATTTAAGTAATTCTTACAGAAACGACTAACACCGAATCTTCAGGTTTCTTCAAAAAGGTTTACCGTGCATCACATAGAACAAAACAATTCCCACTTTGAAATCTTGTGGTTCCTCTGCCACTGCTGTGGACAGACAGCACATGGCAGGTGTGTCCCTGGGGTTCACCACAGAAACCAGCGCTCGGTGCCAGAAAGGTAGCGTCACAGTGTCCGTCTGGCTTCTGAGCATCAAGTGGTAGTTCCGAGGCCGTCTGAAGAAAGGTGTGTGTCCTGGTCACTGTTCACTGAAATGGAGTTTGTGTGTGGGGATTTGCGAATATTTTCCACGGACTCACTGCTGTGAATTTCATCGCTTCAGAATAGGGATCCACAGTGATGGTTCTAGAAGGAGCTTGTCCGTCTGTATCTCTCAGGGTATACTTTTCTTCTCTCCCATTCTGTCTCGTCTGTAATTGCATAGTTATCATTTGTAGGTAGTAGGGAAAGGAGCAGAAGTTTGTTATTTGATAACTTTATTAGTTTTCTTTTTTGATAATGTCAGGGTGTAGGTTTTTAAAAGATGTTCTCTTTCTTTCTAAGTTATCTTAATTTCCTAAAGTATAAATTTTCCTCTGATGGTTTATCTGGATTATTCTCCTTGACACTGAAGGCTTATTCTGACTCTCAGTGTTTCTTCTATTTAAGAATGAAGAGAAACTACTATTGTGGCTGTGTGTCAACAGGTGGGAATTGTCACCTGAGGGCTTGGCTTTATGGGAAGCTGTCTGGACACGAGGCTCTCTTACTCACGTGGCAGAGGGGCCATTTTTCTGGGATGCCAGTGTCTACCTAGCCAACCTCGTTTTCCCCAGACACATCAGTAACTCTCTTTAGAGAAGAAAACCCCTGAGTGCTTCCCAGGGAGGGGGTTGGGGCAGGTGGTTGCAGGTC